GTGAGATACCAATTCATACCTACTACACCTACTAGGATAGCTATAATTTAAAGCAAACAAACATAAACCAGGTGTTGGTGAGACCATGGAGAGATTGGAATGGCCAGGCATGGTGGCTCTTGCCCGTAATCCTAGCACTTTGGGAGGCCGATGTGGGCAGATCACTTGAGGTCAGGAGTTCGAGACCAGGCTGGCCAACATGATGAAACCCCATATTTACCAAAAAATAGAAAAATTAGCTGGGCATGGTAGCACGTGCCTGTAGTCTCAGCTACTGAGGAGGCTGAGGTGGGAGAATCACTCAAACCCAGGAGGCGGAGGTTGCAGTGAGCTGAGATCGAGCCACTGCACTCCAGCCTGGGCAACAGAGTGAGACTCCATCTCAAATAAATAAATAAATAAATTGGAACCCTCATGCATCGCTGGTGGGAATGTAAAACAGTGCAACTGCTGTGGGAAACAGTTTGGTGGTTTCTCAAAAAGTTAAACATAGAATTATGGTATGACCCAGCAATTCCACTCCTTGGTATATATCCAAGAGAACTGAAAACAGGGACTAGAATAGATATTGGTACACCAAGACCCATGGTAGCATTATTCACAATAGCCAAAAGGTGGAAGTGACCCTGTGCCATCATGGATGAATGGATAAACAAAATGTGGCATCTACAGACAATGGAATATTAATCAGCCTTAAAAATGGAGGAAATTTTGATATATGCTACAACTTGAAAGAATCTTTAATATATAAGTGAAATAAGCCAGATCCAGAAGGACAAATATTAGATGACTCCACTTATATGAGCTACCTAGAATAGGCAGATTCATAGGGCTAGAAAGTAGAAAAGGAGTTAGCAGGGGCGGGGGGTGGGAGAGAATGGGGAGTCATTATTTAATGGGTACAGAGTTCAGGTTGGAGATAATGAAAAAATTTTGGGTATAGATCATGATGATTGGCCGGGTGCAGTGGCTCACACCTGTAATCCCAGCACTTTGGGAGGCTGAGGTGGGCAGATCACTTGAGGTCAGGAGTTCGAGACCAGCCTGGCCAACTTGGTGAAACCCCGTGTCTACGAAATATACAAAAAATTAGCCAGGCATGGTGGCACATGCCTGTAATCTCAGCTACTCAGGAGGCTGAGGCATGAGAATTGCTCAAACCCAGGAAGCAGAGGTTGCAATGAGCTGAGATCACACTGCTGTACTCCAGCCTGGGCAACAGAGTGAGACTCTGTCTCACATACCAAAAAAAATTTGATAGTGATGATGATGATGGTTACACAACACTGTGAATGCATTTAATGTCACTAAATTGTACATTCAGTGGTTAAAATAATAAATATTGTGTCATGCATATTTTACCACAATTTTAAAAAATTAGATTGTGGTGATGTTTGTTCAACCCTAAATATTCTACAACTATTGGATAGTACAATTTATATGGGTAAATTATGTGGTATGTAGATTATATTTCAATAAAGTTGTTTAAAAAATCCTTTCCAGCCAGGCGCGCTGCTAACGCCTGTGATCCCAGCACTCTGGGAAGCTGAGACAGGTGGATCACGAGGTCAGGAGATCGAGACCATCTTGGCTAACACAGTGAAACCCCGTCTCTACTAAAAATACAAAAAAAAAAAAAAATTAGCCAGGCATGGTGGCAGGTGCCTGTAGTCCCAGCTACTCGGGAGACTGAGGCAGGAGAATGGTGTGAACCCAGGAGGCGGAGCTTGCAGTGAGCCGAGATCGCGCCACTGCACTCCAGCCTGGGCGACAGAGTGAGACTCCATCTCAAAAAACGAAGAAAAAAAAAATCCTTTCCAGCTTTGACAGTCTCTGATCCATCCACCCATCTATCCATCCATTTATGTATTTGATTCAATACATTTTTATTGAGTTCCCATCATTGTAAGTGTTAAAAATGGGGTGAGAAAGAAAACAAACATGATCCTTGCCCTTTCCTTGCTTTACATTGTGGTTTTAAAAAGTAATCGTAGCCAAATGTATTGAGTGTTTATTATATCCTGGGCACCCGCACAAGCACTTTGCATACCTCATCCCCTGCGGTCTTCACACGGTGTACTGAGCTGTGCTCTTTTTGAATAAGGACATTTGCTCAGGGTCACGCAGCCAGGATTTGAACCTGGCCTGTCTTACCTCAAAACCCGTGCAGCTGAGATCCAGCCACCTGGAAATGGGGTCTTCCCAGGAGACCTGAGTGAGGACCGTCTGTCAGGCTGGCTGCTGTGGCAGCATTGAAGGGAGAATTAAACAGGAGGTGGCATGACCCCCTCTAGGGAGGGGTTTGGAAAATAAGGTGTAAGTCAATGAAGGTTTGTATAGCCATTTATAGTAATCATTACAAAGCAGGTAAAACTATACTTTTAAAAATGGTTATATAATAGAATTTTGAATACAAAATTGGATTTGTAATTGAATTTATAATTGAATTTCTACTATTATATTAAAAATAACTAATGTATTTACTCATTGAACAGGACTGTGTACTGGACTCTGTTCCAAGTGCTTTGCATATATTGTCATCCTATTTAATCTTCCTGACAGCTCCATGACTTATAGGAAATACTACTAGTCCTGTTTCACAAGCAAGGCAACTGAGGCACAAGGAGGTTCAGTAATTTGAGCAAGGTTATACAGTCAGTCAGTGGCAGAGCTGGGATTTCAGGCTATAAGCCAGGCTATAAGTCTACTATAGAACTTGCCCTTCAATTATGTTAAATATGCAAAATAGGTGAACATGAAAATTGCGGTAGCCAGGTGGCAGAATTGTGTTGACTTCCCATCTCTTTCCCCCCAAATAATTTATTTTCTATTTCCCAAGGATACATCATAATAGTTATGATTCCTAGACCACCAAGGAAAGAAATCACATGTGACTATGACCTTTTTTGGTCTTCTTCTCTCTTTACCATTGTATTTTGCTGTATTTGATTTTGAATTCCCCTATGCACATGCACAAACTGGACAGTGCCATTGGACATGCAGGCAGTGTACTGGGAGATACTCGTGGTGTGCTTGGAGGCATTGCCACGACCTGAAGTTCCTCTCTTGACTGCAGCTGCCCCCACTCTGCTGCAATCTTCTGGGGAGGGCGTGTCCCGTCCTCATCAACACTGAGGCTCTTTCTTTGAAAAAACGTTTTTCTAACTCATAAAAGAGTCTGTTGTACCATGGTTAAGAGTAGCATATTAGCATCAGAAAAACATGGATGCGAATCTTGGCTCTGATGGTCTCGATACCTGGGCAACTGCTTTAGGCCTCTGCTTTGACTTTGGACAATAGAAGTAACAGCATGCAGGGGTGTCCAAGGGAGAGAATGCGTTCTTAGTTTCTGTTTCTGGTTGGGCCAGTAAAGACCTTTCCTCATCCCTCTTTTCCGCTTATCACTAGAGACAGAAACTAAAACCCATGGCTTCAGGTGCTAAAAGCCTAAAACAAAACAAAACAGAACAACAACAACAAAATAAGGTAGGTTGGACAAGCTTGGCAGAGCTTTTTTGGGAATAGGATGCTGTTTGGATTGGACCAGAGTACCTGGCTCATTGTAGGGTATGGCATGTCAAGATTTATCTGACATCTTTTTTATTATTAATTCGTGAGGTTATACATTTCTCAAATATTAACCATTTGTATTTCTTCTTTGATGAATTATCTGCCCATACAGCTTCCTCATTTGGCAGTTGGCAGTTTGATTTTACAGTATGTTTAAGTCAAGGGCCAAGAGCATTTTGGAAGCGTCTAAATGAAAAAAAGAGATGCAGAGTGGAGGTCTTTTTCCCTGCAAATCTAACGTCTTTTTTCCCTCCAAGGAGCATTTTTCATTGGTTAGTGCAGCCTCCTCTCTCCCTACAACTGACCTGGTTTCTTCCCTCAGAAAATTACATCTGCTTTGTAGAGTCAATCTTTAGAATAGCTGATTTCCCTCCTGGATGGCTGCACCCACAGGTCTCACATGCATAATTTCTTTCTCTGCCTATTTAAGTTGCATACTGTGGGAATGACTGTGGCTGTGACCAGTCTGCTCAGAGAGGCTCTATTTGAGTGCATGAATACCTAACAAGCGTGCCCTTCTCAGCCCTGTGCAATCACACAACCCACCAAAGCGCTGACCTTTCTGAGTAAAGCGCAAAAGCCTAAGGGATTGCTTAGATAAAAGGCACATTCTTCAGATAGCTGAACCTCTTTTCCCCTCTGGCCTAGCCCCCATCTTGCTGGACTTGGACAGTTCATCTTTTTTTCCATCATGGGGCAGAAAGGACCTGGGCCATAGAAGTTGAGCATTTCTAAATTGCAAAAGGAGCCAAACCTCCCTCCAGTCCTGTGATTCTTGTCAGGAAAGTTCTTGCAGATAAACGTGTTTGGTTCAGGAGATGGTCTGTGTGGCTTGGTGGGAGCATGAAGCTGGCTGCTGGTCTTAAGACATATGTCTGAGGCGGGGATGCTGGTATCCCAGACATGGCAAAACCATGGGGAGAATTCCCCCCGAAAAAGCACAGACTCCTCTAGAGAAAGTGGCTGTGGCTTCTCATGAAGACCTTCCCTCAAGGTGAGGCCACCGTGTGCCTGGACAGCACCAGCATTGAAGTTTGTGTCCTGCTATTTGTGTGTCCTCTGAATTCGCCTGCATGCCTGGTTCAGAATGTGTGGTTTAGCAGAAAGAGTATTGGCCTGGGAGACAGACTATATGGGTTTGAGGTGAGGCTTTGCCCTTTTTTTCTTTTTCTCTTTTTTTAGCTCTGTAACCTTGGTAACAGGTTGTTTCTTCATTTGGAGAATAGAGGATAACATTCCCTGTTCTGCTCACCTCCCTACTTGACCATGAATTCAAATGAGTGTCCTGGGTAAGTTATCAAGACAGAAGAATTTCTTCTCCCCTTAGAGACATAGACAGTGGGCACAGTGCCTGTCCCAGCACCTCATGCTAAGCCCAATAACTGAGCCTGTGTTAGTCCATTTTGCATCGTTACAAAGAAATACCTGAGACTTGGGTAATTTATAAAGAAAAGAGGTTTATTTTGGCTCACAGTTCTTCAGGCTGTGCAAGATGCATAGTGCTGGCACCTGCTTCTGGTGAAGCCTCAGGAAGCTTCCATCATGGTGGAAAGCAAACAGGGAAAAGACTGAGAGTGAGAACTCATTACCATGGGGAGGGCACCAAGCCATTCATGAAGGATCCACCTGCAGATCTCCCGAGGTCTAAAATAAAAAGGATCCAGCTCATAACCCAAACACCTCCCACTAGGCCCACTTCGAACACTGGAGGTCACATTTCAACATGAGATTTTGGAGGGAACAAACCATGCAAGCCTTTCCCCAGAAGGAGGAGGTCTGGATAAGTCAAGGGAATGTGATGAGGGAGTGTGGATGTGTGGATGGGTGCGTCTTTTGTGTGCATGTGTGTGTGTGTGTGTGTGGCATCAGATCCAAGCTGATTGGTGGCACTGTTGCAGGGACTACTATAGGTAAACTAACTTGAAAATCTGAAATCTAAAATGCCTCAAAATCTGAAATTTTTTGAGCACTGACATGACACCATGGGTAGGAAATTCCATACTAGACCTCTTGTGACAGGTCACAGTCAAAGTGCAGTCAAAAGTTCGTTGCATGCACAAAATTATTTCAAATATTATGTTTAAAATTACCTTGAGGCAGTGTGATATGGCATATATGAAACGGATAAATTTCCTTTTTAGATTTGGGTCCCATTCCCAAGATATCTTATTATGTATATGTAAATATTCCAAAATCCAGAACAATTCAAAATCCAAAAAACTTCTGGTCTTGAGCATTTCGGATAAAAGATACTCAACGCGTATTACCTTCCCTCATTCTGTAGTCTTTTCAAATCTGATAAGAGGCCTGGAGGCTGTGGGAATAGCAGAGTGCTCCCTTGACATGTAAGAAAGTGGCTGAAGAGGTCGCCTACGTTCAGAGCTGCAGGGATTGTAGATAAGTTCAGTTCACAAACTTTACAGAGCAGTCAGCCTGTGATGCTGGCCAGGAGACAGATGCAGAAGCAGCAATTAGAATATTATGCCACACGCTGCAATAGCAGGCAGACAGGGACAGTGGCAGCTGGAAAGATGGTCACTGCACTTGGGGCTGTCTGAGTGGAGGAACTGGACAGGCAGAGAAAGTGAACAGCATTCCAGGTAGAACGTGGGGTCTTGCAGGCAAGGCATTGCTCTGGAGGAAAACATCTCACCTCCCTGTCCTGGATAAGGAAGAATTTATCCCAGGAGAGGGAAAGAGAGTGCTTATCTTGCTCACATAGATAGACCAGAGGGGAAGGGTGGGTGGCTGGAAAGGCATCGGACCTGGTAACATGGAGGGCTTTTCTTCCGCCTGCATCTTAGAGAAATGCTGTGTGTCTCCAGCTGTTCTCTGGCCAGTTTAGAAGGACGGTCAATGATCATGTGAAGTGTATCAGAGAAGCAGCTTGCTCCGCAGTATATTTTTCAATACCCTTAGAGTTCAAGGTATACTTTGGATTCTTTTTTATTCTGATGATGGGTCTGCGTACTCAGTTAACTGGAAAAATACTTTTACCAGCTGAGAAAAGCAATGTTGGTATTCCATAGACTTGCCTACCACCAAGTCATCCTGTGTACTTTGCAAAGTCTCCTAACCTCCATTTTGAGCAAGAGTCTCTAGAATCTTCCAAGAAAAGTAAGGAACTTGATCCAGGGCAATGGGAAGAACACAGAACTTTACCCCAGGACTCTTTGCTCCTGGATGACCCAAGGGAAACCACTTAGACTGTCTCTCATTTTCTTCACCTTTACAATGGGGAGATTCGTCCCTGGTCTGGCTGCTTCAAGCATTGATGCAAGGATAAATGGGACACAGGACGGAAAGTGCTTTGCAAGTGCACCAGGCTCGATGCAGGCAGTGTTTCAGGGTGACACTCCTTGCCAGCATCTATTTCAGCATGGGTTAGACAGGAACCTGCTCTGTCTTGGAAGGCACATCCAGACAGTCAGTGTCAGTGAAGGTCAGGGCTGCATCTGATGTGTCTCACTGTGAGGCTTCATTTCCCAGCACAGCCTCACTTGGTTAGAGCACCAGGAGGTGAAGGAACAAGGTCCCTCTAATCCTTTTACTGAGTCTGCATAAAGGAACCCAGGTCTGTCCTGAAGGAACCCTGGTCTGTCCTGGACCACCCCCGTTCCTTCAGGTCCGGGAGCAGCACAGGGTTTGGAGAGCGTGGAGTCTGGTGCCTGCACCTCACACCTGTCTCTGCTCCTAAGAACTGCAGCAGCTTTGGGCTGTAGGAAGATCCTCCACTGTGCTTGCCCGGGACACTCTGAAACCTTGCTCCTCTGGCAGCTGCCTGCTCCCTGGCTCCTGCACCCTGCCTCTCGGAGTCTCTGGTCTGCGCTGCAGTTAGAAACCCTGCCTGGAGCTGGATCCACTGAACAGTAATTTGGTCGTCACAGCAGGTACTTCCTTGCTTTTTCCTTCCTGCCAGAATTGGGTGTGTTTTGGTGCTCTAGGGCAGCAGATTGGTAGAGCAGCAGGAATAAGGAGCTACCAGTCCAGCCCCAGGAATTTACCGGTCATTGTTTCTGTCTCGGCTCTGCCCCGACAGACTTCCGTTTGTTTAATGATCAGAGGCTTCATGTGGTCCGGGGACCCCAGGAGGGGGTAGGGAAGGATGTTTCTAAAGCAGAGCCAGGAAGAAAGTGATGCACTACTGAAGGGTTTCAACTCTAAGAAGGCTACGTCCTCATTAGGAACAAATTCATTAATGACCCACATCAGCTGCAGGGAGGAAGAAGGAGCTCATAATTAATTATAGCTGCTCAGATGAGCTGCCAGATTCGGAGGAGTCAAGAAGCAAGATTGTATGTTGTTTGGATGTCTTTAGATGCCAAGAAGGAAGATTGTGTGTTGTTTGGATGTCTTTAGATGTGTTCCTCCGAAGCGATGGCAGCTCTGGGAACTAACTTTCCAGTTGAAGGATGTGAGAGTTCTTCCTCTTTCTGCAAGATCCAATCTCAGCTTATTGAGCAGTGAATTCCTTTCTGATCTCACTTACCTATTCCCGAGAGCAAAAAGGAAGTCAGTATTTGCTTTTCCAGCAAGGTCACGGATCACCTGACGAAGTCCTTTAACAGCTGCAAAACATTCGCGGCTGTGCTGAAGGCACGAGCTATCAGCTCCGGCCCTGCAGCCCAAACCTGGCTTTCTGGGAAGGAGATGAGTCCTCCCTGCTGTGGGCTATGCAGCGGGAGGATGCAAGGGAAGGTAATGTGGGCACAGTGTTCCTCCCGACTGTTTTCTCTTCTTCGTGAAGCTCCAGATTCAGCTGCTGCAATGCAGGCGAAAATGACAGACACTTGCAAAAAACGTGGGAATGGAGTTAATGAGATTGTGTTAATGTGTCATTTGTTGAGCAGGAGTTATCTCTTTGTTTCCCGGGTCGGCAGGAAGTGAGCCCGCTGGAGAACTCGGTTGGCAGAATCTTTCTCAGTGCTTCTCACCTCCCCTGGTGTCCAGGCTTCGGCCCTCTCAATGTTTAGAAGCAGTGGTCAGATGCCTCCTGCTTCTTGGCACAGGGAATATTTACACTTGAAAGGCTGGGGTCCTGGGATGGGGAAACAGGAAGCTCTCATCATCTTGGCATGATCAGTCTGAGGTACGGGTGATTTTTTTTTTTTTTTTCTTTTGGAAGCAGTGCTTTGTCTTTGCAAGGGGTCATGCAGGGATTGGCAGGGTTGCTGTTTGGTGAACTACCTTGCTAAATACTTGACTTTGTAAGGTTGAATTCTCCAAGAATTCTCATGGCAGTGAGGCTGAGACTTGAGCCAAGCTGTCTTTTCAAGGAAATCCAAGGTGCTATTTATTTTGGCATGCAGCCTGCTCTGGGATGAAATACCACATTTTTATTGTTGCAGAATAAAAAGAGGTTTGAAGAGAACAAAAGTACAGAACCAAGTTTGTTTCAAGACTAAGTAAGGGAAGGTCTCTTTATATTTGGATTTGAGGTTAGAAATGAGCTTGAAAATGGCATCGTAAAAGGAGTAAGCATGGAGAGGAGAGGGTGCGGATAAATGCTACAGGAGTTGGGCTGACCTGGGGAAACCCGTGCTCCTGGGCACTGAGGGTGGATCCGGCTGGAACGGTTTCCAGTCTGGCCTGGTAGCTGCACGTGGACTATCATCGCTGTCTGCCAAGTGACTTGCTTCTTTGCTGGATTTTGAATGGTCAGCCTTGGTCCTCACTTCCTTACTACCCCCCTGCCCCATAGGCTTGGAAAGGAACTGTGGAATGATAGAGTCACACAAGCTATCCTGCTCCTAATTAACTGGGTAACTTTGAATTGGCCACATGGACTCTTTGTGCCTTAGTTTCCTCGTTTGTAACTTGGACATGTTCCTGTTTCCTAGGATTGCTTGTATAAGGGTGAAATGAGAAATTATACTCAGTAGCTGATTCCCAGTGTAAGTGCTTAGCTCCTCTTAGTTTCTGTCCATGGGTTCCCTTTGAAGACAGATAATTTTGCTCCTTTCATTTTGTTCATTTGGGAACCATGGACTGAGTGTCTGCCATGAGTTAGACATAAGGAGTTGGGGGTGACACGGGAACAAGACGTGCAAGAATTCTGATCTTCACAAGCTTACAGATTAGTAGGGGAGAAGAGCTAGAGAGAAAGCAAGCTGTGTATGCCCAAAACATCTAGAATATAATGAGCTATGGAGAGAGGTTGGGCCCTAACTCTGGATCCTCGACCCTGGCATTGGACAAAAACAAATGGAAAATAACATAATAACACCAGGTATTTAAAGGTTCTGAACACTGGGGATACAACTTAACAGAATGGGTAAGAAATGGCTTTATGGTAGGGTGCAGTGGCTCACTCCTGTAATTCCAGCACTTTGGGAGGCCAAGGTGGGTGAATCACCTGAGGTCAGGAGTTCAAGACCAGCCTGGCCAACATAGCGAAACCCCATCTCTACTAAAAACACAAAACTCAGCCGGGCATGGTAGCTTGTGACTGTAATCCCAGTTATTCAGGAGGCTGAGGCAGGAGAATGGCTTGAACCCAGGAGGCGGAGATTGCAGTGAGCTGAGATCAAAAGAAATGGCTTTATGTCAAAGCTTTAAATGCTCCAGAGAGTTGCAAAATTCCGTTTTAAAGGGGAACTGTGTCCCATAAAGCTATTTTCATATTCTGTTTTATTGCGAACGAGGTAGTATGCATGTGTTGATGTGGCAGTTATTTTTACCTAACCTAACTACATTGAGCATCTGCCCATGGGAAGGAAACTCCCTTAGCTAAACTCTACGATGTCTGTTGTGAGGACCACAGAGGAAAGTGGAGAAGGTTGGGGGTGGGAGTCGGGGCTGGAAGTGGTGACTTGTGCACATGACAGATCTCTCCTTCCTTCCTGTATTATGAGCCCTTTAGAGTAAAAGTTGCCGAGCCCCCTCCTTTGAGAGTTGAGTGTTAGCTCCACTTCATTTCTGTAGCCTTGAAATGATTAATTTTAGTGAAATCCAAGTCTAAGAGAAATCTTAGAGGTCTCTACAGAGTTATTTTTAATGAAATTTGACCTAATGTGTGCTGAATAATTCTTTAAAGTCATATGATCTGATACACGACCGGCTGAATTCCTAATTCTAACCAAAGGCTAAGTGTGTGATTGAAAAGTCCCTGGGCTGATGGTGAGAGTTTGTGTAGCCAAAAGTTCAGCTGTACCCAGGTGGCCCCCTTCTCTGCAGTAGGAGCTCTCCAGCCTTGGAGAAGCAGAGCTCTCCTTTGGCCCAGGAGGCTTTACAAGAGAGCAGTTCTCCTCTAAGTCCAGAGGCTTTTTGTGTGTACTGTGGGAGAGGCAGAGAAGCACCAGTCAGAAGCATTTCCCCTCACAAGGGGAACTAGAGATCAGTCACAGTGTCAGGGAACTGGGCTGACTTACGGGGTGGACAAAGGTTTACAAATCACTTTTGTTCCCAACCCAGGTTTGGAGTTGGCTAGACTTGAGGGCAGATCCTGCTGCAACACTTGCTTGTTAAGTGATGTGGATCAGCCCTATCAACTCTTTCAGCCTCAGTCTCCCTCCCTGGAAAATGGGAATAATAATAATCCTCTTTGGGTGATGGTGTAAAGATTGCATGAGATAATTCATGAATGTCAAGTACTCCCAGCTCTACCTGTTGCTTAGTAATGTTACAGGGGTGGGAGGGAGAGGGGAGCAGGAGCAGGAGAGGCTGCAATGGTGGAGATGAAGGGCCAAGCTTAGGGTTTGCCACTTCAGTCTCTTCTTCTGCAGGCTTCACCTGCCACTGCCTCCTGCATGCCAGCATCACCTGCTGGAGGCTGCAGAGCTGGGGTGGTGAGAGAGGCAGTGGTATTCTCTGCCTGGGAGCTTTCTCTTTATAACAAGGGCAAGCCTGCCTCACCCCAGGTTAGAACCTTCCACACCTCTCCACCGTCTGCCTCCTTGGTGGCCACTCTCAGCCTCTGCAAGACCACCTACACTCTCAGCTCCGTTGTCCCTAACTTCTCTAGCTCTTAGTTTTCAACAAACCAGGATGTGCTGCTGCACTGCTTGCTGCCTCAGAGGTAAGCAAAGTACTCAGTGTGTCAATCCTTCTGCAATGAGTGTCTCTGCTTCTAGAACACATGCCTGCCCTTTGGGGCCCCATCCACCTGGATAGAGCAAGGCCTCTCTGGCAGCTGCTTGGCAAATGGGCTGGAGGAGATGAGGCAGAAGCAGCACTCGCAGGAAGAAGTGGTGCTAAACTTTCTGGTGGCAAACTTCGGCATTTCTCTCTGATTTGACAGGCCTCATATTTTCCAGCCCTCTTCTCTAGTTACTTGTTTGTCCCCCTTTTTCCATCCTTGGTTTCTGGGGGCCACCCATCATCCTTTTCTTTCACTCTCAGTTTCTCCCAATCCTTCCCTCATCACTGGTTCACTTTCCTGGTCTGGAGTTCATTGTCAAGTACATTGGAATTCCTAAAACAACCCTGCTTCCACTGCTGTGGTGTCACAGATAATTCATTATTCTGATGGATGTGGAGTTACAATCATAAAAAGCCAATTTCCTGGGTGATTTATTGTAATGGGGGCAGGAGCTAGGATGTTTACCATTTGAAGAAAGAGTCCTGGAAATGGATTAAAACTTTGGGGAGAATTTATGGTCAAACCTCAAGGCACACTAATTCAGGGCCAGGGCAATATTCTGCTTGAATAGTTACCCATGTCTTCGGGCCACCCAGGTTGAACTTCCCCTTGTTCTGCCCATGGCTAGAAATCACCTCTAAGTATCAGCTCCCTGTCAGTACTTGCAATTATCTCATCTCTATCTTCTGTTTGATTGACATGTCACACATCATTTATAGGTACTCTGATTCCAGCTTTTTCACAAAGTGGATTATAAGTCTCTTCCAAGGATGGGGACAGGTAGATTTCAACTCTTGAGATTACGGAAAGTGCCCTGTGCTGGTATCAGAAGCCTAGGTCTGATACTAGCACCTTCACAAATATTCTGAGACACCTTAGAGCAATTAACTCCTCAGCCTCAGTTTCCTCATCTGCCAAGCAAGATGGCTGGACCAAATACTTCCACTTCTTTTCATTTCAACTATTGCTAATATTCCATGAAGAAACATTCAGAATTGGACTGTAGAAATGTGTACAGGTTTTTAATCTTCCTCCTTGGAGGACTGTGAGGTCATGGGCACCCTGGGAGAAAGGCAGGGGTGGGTGTTACTTTGTTTAGTGCTATGTTTCCCCAGTACTTATTCAAACTCTAATGAGACTCACCAATTCTGTATCCTCCTTTCTTTCAGAACTCTCCAACAAGTTTTACAGACTCATCTGATGAAGAGTGCCTGAGACACTGAGGGTCAGCGCTCCAAAGATGGAGAAGACAGATGGTAGGCAGGCTGCTTTGTAGGGCCTGTTTTAAGATAAGCACTTGGGCTGGGACAGAATTGTTGCCACAAATCCTGGAAATAGCCTAGGAAAGGCTTACAGGAGATACCCCCAAACAGGCAGTGCTGGTAGGCTTAAGCATGTATTTCAGATTTTGTGTATCTCCAGCCCTAGCCAAGGAAAGAGGCACAATATGGTGAAAGAGCCTCCATTCATACCTAAGTGATTCTACAAGTCATTTAATGTCTTTGATCCTTAATCCTCACATGTATCAGTTAGCTTTGCTGTGTAACAAACAGCCCAACAATTTAGTGACTTAAAGACATTAATTATTTCTCAAAAGATTCTGTGGGTTAGCAGGGCCATTATTCTGGTCTGGGCTGGCATGGTTGATCTTTTCTGGGTTCATTCACATGTCCATGGGCTTCTGGGTGACTTGGCTGGGGCTGGATGACTTAGAATGGCCACACTCACATATCTGGGATATCAGTAGTGACTTGGCCATGTGTCTCTCATCATCCAGGAGGTTGGCTAGGGCTTGTTCACATGGTGGCAGAAGAGTTGAAGCACAACACAAGAACAGACTGACTCCAATGTGCAGATAATGTTCCAATCTCTGCATATGTCATATTGCTGTTGACCCACTGCCCAACACAGTCATAAGGCCACATCTAGTGTCAGTGTGGTAGGGGAGTACCCCAAGGGTTGGATATTATTGTGACTATCTTTGCAAACAGTTGACCACACCTTGTCTATAAACAGGTATTAATACTATTTCATAGGGTTAGTAAAGAACTAAATTACACAATGCATGGAAAGTTGTCGAGTAACAACTACCTAGCATAATGAATGTTGGAATGTTCCCCTCTTCCTGTCCCCAGGAAACTTGCAGAAGGCCACAGTCTAGACCCCAATATCCTGACTTCTAATGAATGTTTTTCTAGATCACCAAATATCAGGAAACAGAGAGCCTCTAATTCCCCTTGAATCACATGGGCCTTCACCAGTGCAGGACTTAGGGACCTGACATCAGCTCCTGCCCTGCCTCTTCTTCCAAATGCAGTTCCCATATATTTCAATATTTCAATAGTTGCTTTTCTCCCCAGAGAGCTGCCTTTTCAGTACATCCCTGGCAGTGGTCCTACAGAACACCCACTCATTCCCTCAAAAGCCCCAGGGGCCTGTCAGCCCAGCTGCCTCTAAGTCCCTTCTCAGCACACTGGGGAGGTCTGCTGTCCACGTGATCGCTCATATGAGCTCAAGAAAGACTCCCTCCTTTCAGCCATGGGCCTCCCAGAACAGGGACAAGCCTTCCCAGAGGGGAAGGCTTCCTTCCCTGTCTTGGCCTTTGGAAGAGTTTCGTTTTACTCCCCTTCTTTATGGCTTTATTTTCAGCCACTTTCTCTCTAGTTTCTGTTTTTCCCATTTACTTCAGAGACTGAATATAGGCTTTTGAACTTCTCTTTAAACGCTTTAAATGCCTCTAGTTGGTTCACACTTTAAACGCCTCTAGTTGGTTCACTTACCTGCTTTACTTCACTTGTCCCTTCAGATAATTACTGTGGTTCTCCCTCCTTACCTTGTCCCCTTCAAGTCCCCTTTTCTCCTGTCTGTGTGTAACTCTGAAGCTGACTGTGTTTGTAGGTCCTATATAAGGGTCTAGTGATCTGTTGCACTCTTAAGCAAGACTCCATAGGGAATTCCAGGTAGCTCTGAGCCTCCTCTATCTTTCTTTTTTCTTCTCCCCAGACTCATTTTCCCACTTTCTCCAGAAATATTTTCTTGGACTCTCATTCCCTCTTGAGCTGTAGGGAGACAGCACATGCTCAGTGAATCCTCCTCGGCCGCATTCAGAACCTGCCCACCCTTGCTGTTAGGGTCCTTCAGTGAGTGTCTACTCTGGGCTGTGTTCTCTAGTGCATTCATGCTAATAATGACAACAACTCTGTAAGTTAGGCATTGTTATCTCCACTTTACAAATGGAGAAATTGAGGCAGAGGGAAATGAAATAATTTGCCCAGAATCACACAAGTGGGAGATGACAGCCAGGATTCAAATCCAGCCAGGTTGGCCATGTGTTGGTTTATTTCATCTGAATTTCATTTTGAGCAGAGTCAGGTCCTCCTAACTGATTCCCACCCTGGCCCAGTGCCTGGAATTCTGAGCTCTCGCATACCTGCCACCAGGTAGAATGAACAGGAGCAGAGCTGCTTGTGAGGGCAGTCTTTCAGCCTATCAGCTCAAGCTCCCTCATCAAAGCCCAGCATTCCTCTTGTGCTGGGAGAAAGAGAAGGAATGCAGAGTGGCAGGTGGCAGGAGGGCAACATGATGGATCACTGTGTGTGTGTGTGTGTGTGTGTGTGTGTGCGCGCGCTAGCTTAGGAAAGCACCTATTAAACCTGCTATTAAACCTGTCATCCTTGGTAGCTGCTCAACCTCACTTGCCCTCCTCTCCCTTGTGGAAGATTCTGCCTTTAAATCTGCTGTTTCTTATTTGATGCTATGATTGTATTTGTGCTCTGGATCTGTGCCCAGAAGCCGTTGGGCAAATCGGTGCATTTCTAGTGAATTGAGGCAATAAGCAGATAAATAATGCAGCCTCTCCTTTAGGAGAGCTCTTTGCCTTCTAGGTCATAAATCTGCTCTCTACTTAACTTTCGATAAATATCTCTTCTCTGTTTGGCCTGTCCTTGTAATCCGGGGGGCTGTTGAGCAGACCAGTAGGTCTAAGAGTATAGCCAGTGCAACTTGGAAAACTAATGGAGAGCAATACAAGATATTGTTCTCATTTACTAAAATTGCCAGTGTGTTTCTTTGTGGGGGTACGGGAAGGTCGGGGAGCAAGTTGGTTTAAAAAATTGTGTGAGTCGGCTGGGCATGGTGGCTCATGCCTGTAATCCCAGCACTTTGGGAGGCTGAGGCAGGCGGATCACCTGAGGTCAGGAGTTCAAGACCAGCCTGGCCAACATGGTGAAACCTCGTTTCTACTAAAAATACAAAAAAAAAAAAAAAAAAAAGCCAGGTGTGGTGGCACGCACCTGTAATCCCAGCTACTCGGGAGGCTGAGGCAGGAGAATCACTTGAACCTGGAAGGCAGAGGTTGCAATGAGCCAAGACTGCGCCGTTGCACTCCAGCCTGGGCAACAAGAGCGAAATTCTGTAAGAAAGAAAGAAAGAAAGAAAGAAAAAAGAAAGAAAGAAAGAAAGAAAGAAAGAAAGAAAGAAAGAAAGAAAGAAAGAAAAAGAAAAAGAAAGAAAGAAAGAAAGAAAGAAAGAAAAGAAAGAAAGAGAGAGAGAGGGAGGGAGGGAGGGAGGGAGGAAGGAAGGAAAGAGAGAGAGAGAGAGAGAGAGAAAGAAAGAAAGAAGAAAGAAAGAAAGAAAGAAAGAAAGAAAGAAAGAGAAAGAAAGAAAGAAAGAAAGAAAGAAAGAAAGAAAAGAAAGAAAGAAAGAAAGAAAGAAAGAAAGAAAGAAAGAAAGAAAAAGAAAGAAAGAGGGAAGGAGGGAGGGAGGGAAGGAGGGAGGAAGGAAAATGTGCCCAAAGAAAGAAAGAAAGAAAGAAAGAAAGAAAGAAAGAAAGAAAGAAAGAAAGAAAGAAAGAAAGAGAAAGAAAGAAAGAAAGAAAGAGGGAAGGAGGGAGGGAGGGAAGGAGGGAGGAAGGAAAATGTGCCCCAGGAAATGCCACCATTTGCAGCTTTTTTAAACCTGTCCCTTTCCCTCCATTACCTTGAGCTCCTCTCACCTTAATCATGTCAGCAGCCTCCCAGCTGATCTGGGGGCTCTGGTTTGCCTTTCTGTTAATCCTTGGCAAGATGCTCTTTTTGAAATCACATTCAACCAAGTCACTCCCTTGTTTAAAACACTTCGGTGATTCCCATCACCTAAAGCGTAAAGTCAAAACTTGTTCACGTGCATACAAGTTGCTCCATGATCTGGCTGTGGCTGTCCTTTCCAATTTTATCTTTCTCTACCACGTTTTAAGTACTGGCCATATCAGCTGCATTTATAGAACTTTGAAATACTGTGTGATTTCACCCTCCATCCCTTTGCACGTTCTCTGTGGAGAGCTAGATTTTCTGTCTTGGCTATCTATTGCTGCATAACAAGTCATCCCAAAACTTGGTGGCTTAATACAGTAATTTATTATTAACACAGGCTCAGTTCAGTGATTCTCACTTGGGGTCCCTCCTGTAGTTGAAGTCAGATGATGGCTGAAGACTTTTTTACTCATGCGTGGCATCTGGGCTAGGATGACTGGAACTGCTTGGGGCTGGCTGGGCATTTCCTTCCCTTTCTCCACTTGACCTTTCTGTGGGGCTGTTTGAGCTTCCTCGCAACATAGCAGTCTCGGGGAAGGTGGACTTCTTACATGGCAGCTGGCTTCCCAATGAGTGTGCATTCTAAGAGAGCCAGGTGGAAGCTATGGGGCTTCTTATGACCTAGCCTTCAAGATCTCTGAGCATCAGCCATATTCTTTCGGTTAAAGCAGTCACAGGCCAGCCCAGATTCAAAGGCCTGGAAAGGTAGACTCCACCTTTAAATATAAAATTAGCTTGCTTGTCCAAAGGGGGTAGGAATTGGTGGTGGTCACCTTGAAGATAAATTGCTACAATGTCTTTTACTCTCTTGTTCTCCTGGTAAGTCCCTATTTGTTCATTTATCACCCAGTTGTATGTCACTTTTGTGTAAAGTCATCCCTCTCCTACCTAGGAAAAATTGGTCTCCAAGTCCAAAAAAAAATAATTCTGCAGAAACTAGAAAAATAAGTCAGGGAAGAAGCCTGTACCATGAGCATGCAACTGTTACTCTCCTTATCTCACTGCATTGTATGTGTTCGTGTCTCTCCTGCCTCACCATAAATCCTTTGAAGGCAGAGGCTGAACCTGATTCATCTTGGTGTCCTTAGGATCTAGCTTAGCACATAGGTGCTCAATAAATGGGTGGTTGAGGTAAGTGAATTGAATCACAGCTATTTTATAATTTTAACCTAGTGCCTACTACCCTT